CAAATACACACAACCCCACACACCTGCTGGCCTCACGTCGTACACCTCACAGAAGAGGGCGGGGTCCAGCCCCCGGCCCTCCAGGACAGACACAACCTGGCGGCGTTGATTTTGGGAAGAAACAGGTCATTGTGAGCTGTCAACGCCACATGCCGTTCTCTGGGTCGGTCTGGACAGTCCAAGGATTTGGGTGACTGTGCATGTCATCCCGTCACAAAGCGGCGAGCCGAGCAAGTTGCCGGTGGGTCGGATTGCCGCCGGCGGCGGCGCCGCGGCGCAGGCACCGACCTCTTGGTGTGTCCAGACGTAGAAGGCGCCCTCCCTGTTCTCCCCAATGGCAGGGTCCAGGCTGTCTGCATCCTGGGGGAGGATCGGCAGAGAAGTGGGCATGTGGGGAAGGGGGGGAGAGGGGGCCAGTCCAATCGCCAGGCACGCGCGGTGCAGGTCACCTTCAGATTTCAGTGACAGCTCTGGCGCTGGCAATTGGCCGCGCCGGCCTAATTCCTCATATCACGAATGAGCACGCGTTTGGAGGGACGGGTGGGCGCGGGCGCATCTCCCGGGGCGGATCGCCACGCCGACGGCCAACCAGGGGCAGCCGCCCTTACAGAATTCATGTGCCCCAAGCAGCCCCCAAAATTCCGATGCGTCCCGATGCTCCCTGTCAAAATAGGCACTGCTGTGACGAGCAGAACAGGTGTGTTGTTTTATATATGTATTATGATCCTTGCTGTTTGTTTGATGATGCCACAAGACATGAATCATAAATCTTGTGCCATCAACCTATGACACAAAACATGTGTGAACATGTACAGCGTGACATCTATGTTTGAAAGATATGCATGTGCCTCAACGCCGCACCTCTGCGGAGAAGAACCCGCCCTGGGGGTGCCTCATGTCGCGCAGCAGGTAGTCCAGCACACCCCGCACCGCAAACACACCCCACTCCGCGGCACCGCTGCCCCCGCCGCCGCCCCTGGGGCCGTCCCCGGCGTGCGGCGCGCCCGCGGGCGCGCCGGCCGGGGCGGGCAAGGGGGCGGCGGCGGCGGCGTCAGCTGCGATGGCGTCCAGGTATGTTGAGACCAGCTGGGGGTTGTCGTACAGCATCTGAGGGGGTGGGAACATTTCATGGAGAGGGCTGTGTTGGTGAAAGTTTCAGGCGGGAGGGAGTGGTGAGTGAGGGTGGTCGAGAGAGAGCAGGGTTTGTGCGAGTGCGGGGGCAGGGCGGAGGGGCCCCAGTCGTCACTTACAGCGAAGAATGCATCAGGCTGTGTGATGAGGCTGTTGAGACGCATCGTTGGGTGTTGCTGTCGACACTCTGCAGACAGCTGCGCGCAATGACGTATCCAGGCTGCACTGGTGCAGCCGCGAGTGCTGCAGCCAGAGATCCGGCGGCCTGGAAGGCCGCTGGGCCAGGAGCGACCACAAGCATTGGCGGTCCCCTAGATATGGCAGGTCATGAAGGTGACAATGAACCACCCCCCTTGAAAGAACCCCCGCACCTTCTCAAACTGCGGTGCGTGGGCGGGCCCAGCGGATGGAGCAGCAGCCGGTCACGACAGCGGGGTCGGGGGGCCGGGGAGGGCGGCGATTTAGGGTTGGCTCGCAGGCCGACGGTGCAGGCGGCTGCTGACCCGGGCCACATACTTCATGCAAGGGACGCGTTTTGGGGCTGCGCTCGTGAAGGACCGGGGTCATGCAGCCGTCCTCCATTGTTGTGCCCCCGCTCCCACCCCGACAGCCACACCGCCTGCCCCCCCAACCCCGAGAACGCGCTCACGTGGGGCACGTGGAGGTGGGCATCGACGCTGCGGGTTTGGAAGGAAGGGGACGGGGGGTTTGACGCGCCAGAGCGGCTTGTCAACGGGTTGCTGCAACCATATCGCGTGCCGCGACGAGATTGTTGGCGCTGAAATTAAATGCAGGTGGGAGTCGGATGGGCGTCAGCGGCCGTCCTTCCACCACCACCACCACTTGAGAAGGAGCCCTTGCGCTGGCGGGTGTGAAGCAAAATTTGCCCTCAGCACAGAGCCGCACCTTTGACAGGCGAACGCTGACAGCAAGCAAGCAGATGATGCGACCCCACAACCACCTTGTTGCAACAAACACGTGCGCACGCGGCTCCCGAGCATGGACGCAGGAACAAACACGCACAAGCATATCCCAGTGCCCGCGCACCCCTCCCCTCACCTGTAGCGGTGGAACCCCCCTCCCAGGTGGTCGTACATGCCGCCAGCCGCGTACGCCCTCAGCGTGTGCAGCGCAGCACCCAGGAGCTCCTCCCCCTTGGACGCGTCCCCTGAGAGCTGCGGTCAAAGGTATCGTCAAAACATAGACAGTTCATTTCACATATTCACCGACACGCTTGCTGACGAGCATAATCAGGGCCGCGGCGGCCGCGCCCTGCCGATCCTGCCAGCGCTGGGTGGCTCGAGCCGCGATGGCTGAGTCGAACCCCAGCCGTCCCGTGGCAATCCTCCGCGGAATTCGTGTCGAGGCCGCGCCCAAGACTCACCGCCCTGCGACCACGTCTCATGTCGTGTTTCCCGGGGAGCACGGCATCTGCCCGCCCATCCACCAAGCTGGAGCCCTTGAACCGCCCCCCATCCCCCCCACCTCCAAACGCCAACATCCCCCACCCAGCCTTTTCACCGCCGCGGCGCGCCAGCCGCCTGGCGACTCTGATCACCCTTTTCCGTCACTCTCAGCACGACACAGTGGCGCCTCTGCCCCCCCACCCCCATTCCCCGCCCCAAAGCCCTCAACCGCAGGCCGCCCGCACGCACCCGGGCCTGCTGCGCCGCCGCCAGCAGCGCGTTGATCTCTGAGGGCCGAGGGAACTTGGGGGCGGCCCCGAACCCGCCCAGGCGCGCGTCATACCGCTCCATCAGCTCAGAGGCTGCCGCCAGGGGGGCGCCTGAGTGTGTGTTTGGGGTTTGAGGGACCCGAGGTTAGGATTGCGCGCGTTGGAGGGCGGCAGGATGGAGAGTGGCGGCGAGGGAAAGACGACAATGTGCTGTGGTGATGCGTCGTGGCGGGACGGTGTGGAGTGAGGATGCTCATGCGAAGCTTGAAAGCCGCGCAAAACGGCTCGTGTGAGGTGTGACAGTGCCAACCCCCACCCTGCAGCCATAAGGGCGCCGTCAGGCTGCACTGGCTGCACAAGCTCCACCAAACTATCAGTGCTTGCGACAGGTGGGATGAATGCGGCAGCAGCACGGCCCCCACCGTCAATGAGCGCGCTGTGTCAGCAAAGCGCGCCAGCAGGTACCCTGGACTGCGTTGCATGTGTACGCCGCATAACCCCACCTGCCAGCAGCTTCAAGGGCAGCTGCCCCTCGGCGCTTTCGTCCCCGTCGCCCCCGCCCCGCGCGGCGATCTCCTGCAGCTGCTCCAGGGTGCTGGCGGCCTGGGGTTGCGCGGCGGTTGGTGCAGACGGTTGCAGGCGGTGCTGTGATTGGGGCAATCATTTTTGGAGGCCACAGTGGATTGCCCCTACGAGGCCCCACAGGGTTGCAGCAGTTGCTTCAACCCTTTCTGACCATGCCGATGAACAACATGCCGACGAACAAGGCGCAAGTTGGCACTGGCGGGCGCTCGAACAAGCTCCCCCCACCCCCGGCTCTGCCGTCCAGATTGCAAGACATCGGCATGACCGCTCGCACCCACATACGCACGCCC